TCTTCAGACACCCTTGCATTCAAGGGCATACTTAAAAATTACCATTAATATCAACACAGGGCTCGCTCAATAATATATTTGGACCCCCATTCAAAAATCACCCAAATGCAGTATTAATATCTTGTTTCAATATGAACACTACGCTAGGGACATACTGAAACATCATATCAAGGATTACTTGATCAGTTCCTTAATGAATCTCTTCATGTTTTCCTTCTTTTTGTACCTACCTACAGGAAGTGCACATGCTGCCATGTGTTGATGGCAGCATCCATTTCATGAGAAGGGTTTTTCTACCTGTCTACCCATTTTCCTTCTATGTGTAGAAGTAACTCTTTATTATTTCTTTAATTACTTTTCAACTTTTAATATGAAATTAGTCAAAAGTTGAGCTAGTTTGTTTGAAGAAGCATGTTTGATTTGATTCTCAGAAGTACCAGAATGGTCACAACACTCAGTGGGTGACTTCATCCACTAATCGAAAGCTACTCTATTAAAATTATTTCAGTCCAGTAGGCTTAGCTAATAAGAGTCCACATGTGCCAATTAAAACCTCTGAAATGATGCAGAAGGACTGTTTGGGTATTAGATTTAAAGGTTAGGCACAGACACTTGTACTCAGACAAGTGCCTCAAAGCATTAACATCCCTACTGTGTGGGAGCGGGGAGAGAACACTCCATAACGTTTGAGACATGCATGGACGCAGGGCTTATCGAGTCAGGCCTTTCAAAAGTTGCATCAAATTGACCTTATAATCAGACTATGCATAATGTAATTAGTGTAACCTGTGACTGATTGTGTATGACCCCTATGTACACATGGTGCAGACACGTGCATGTCCCTATGTTGGTGAAATGTTCTGTAGCATCTGGAGTGGGTAAGTGGATGAGTGACTTGCACACCTTTTACGAATATTCCAGCAATTCATAAAAAAACAAAAATTGGCTTTACATATTGTACTCCTTTGGGAAATCAAACCTTGGGTCTTCAGTGGTACTAGGGTCGCATTAGCTTTGGCTACCATTTGATAAACATGGAACACAGATGGGACCCATGTAATTATTAGGAACATTTCTTCAAGTTTTCCGAATACAGTTCAGAAGATTTACAGTTTAACAAGGTTATATATCAAGTTTTTGATATTTTTCAGAATAAAACAAAGTCTGACAATTGTACATATATGTTTGTGGAACATAAGAAAATAGATGCCAGCTTCTTTCTTATTTCTGTTTTGTTTAGAAGTTTTATTTTTAGAATTCCATCTCTTAATATGTAATTCGACCATGCATGGCTTCAAATTTCTTCCCTCTTCTCTCATTGCTATATGCTGCCTGTGAAGATCCGAGGTAGAACAGGTCTTCAGGAACCCATGCTTGCCGTGAAAGACGACTATGCTTGTCGTAAGAGGCGACTAACGGGATCGGGTGGTCAGACTCGCTGACTTGGTTGATGCATGTCATCGTATCCCGATTGCGTGGATTGATGCTCATGTTGTCAATCACTGGATTTTTTTACCAGACCTGATTACTTACAACAAACCAACCAACAAAACATTGCTATATGGCTGAAACAGTGTCAGTGTTACAATTTAACTTGATCACTCTTCACTCTTTTGATTAGTAGTGAACCTGGTGACTTTTCCATAATATCAAAGTCTTATTATTATTGGATTAATGTGCCTGTAAGCAATAAATCGAAGACCTTGACGCCAGTGGACATAGAAAAGCTTGATGATCTGTCTGACGTTGGTACCAGTGGATGTAGTATAGTTTGATGGTCTATGTGATGTTGGTACCAGTGGATAGGGTATATCTTGTTGATCTGTCTGACCTTTGTACAAGTGGACATGGTATTGCTTAATGATCTATCTGACCTTGATGCCAGTGGACATGGTATTGCTTGATGGTCTATCTCACCTTGAAGCCAGTGGACATGGTATTGTTTGATGGTCTATCTGACCTTGGTACCAGTGGACATGGTATTGCTTGATGGCCCACCTGACCTTGATGCCAGTGGACATGGTATTGCTTAATAGTGTATCTGACCTTGATGCCAGTGGACATGGTATTACTTGATGATCTACCTGACCTTGATGCTAGTGGACATGGTATTGCTTGATGGTTTATCATATCCAAGACATTGGCATGGTTGACAAGGTATAGCTTAATGATCTATCTGATCCAGGACCTTGGCACCTTGATGTGTCAGAATTACAGCACAATGATTTGTGGACATGGGTTATTTTTTTATTCAATAAGAAACATGGATTTTGAATTCTCTTTTATCATATTAAATGCCATGTATCGTGGTTGCGGTGTATCGTTTTTCCACAGTAAACATGTAGGGTGATGGTTTGTTGATCAAAGACCTTGGCACACAGTGGACACAATATTGCTTGGAGATCTATCTGATCCTAAATTGGCAGTAGTGGACTTAGCCTGCCTTGGTAGTCTAGATGGTTAAATACCTTGGCTGGCCCAGTCGTCTAAGGCTGTGATTTGCTATGCAGAGTTGCTTCCCTTGGGCACGCCAGATACCTATGATTGTTGGGTCGAATCCCAGTTCGCCCCGATTATGGTTTTTTTAAGGTTTGTCAGCACCATACCCATGCTCGTGGGTTTCACCGAAGTGGTAAATGTCTGAGACCTGCATCACTTAGTGCTTTCCTCCCACATTAAGCTGACACGCCATGGTATAGCTGTAATACTGTTAAAAGTGGCCTTAAACCCAACTCACTCACTCAATACCTTGGCACAGTGGACATGATCTTGCTTAGTGGTCTTTCTGATCCGAACTTGGCAGTAGTGGACAAAGTCTGCCTTGGTGGTCTAGCTGATTCAAGACCTTTGCACAGTGGAAATGATATTACTTGATGGTCTACCAGATCTGAATGTTGGCAGTGGTGGACATAGTCTGCCTTGGTGGTCTAGCTGATTCAAGACCTTTGCACAGTGGAAATGATATTACTTGATGGTCTACCAGATCCGAATGTTGGCAGTGGTGGACATAGTCTGCCTTGGTGATGATCTAATTCAAGCCCTTAACATACTATAAAATTTCATTGACTGCTTCAAGACCTCAGTGCCATTTGAGTTGCTGAAGACCTATTCTAACCCAGGTCTTCATGGGTTGACTGATGGATGGACAAACAGACAAAGGGATATGCGAGTCTGACCACCCGATCCCGTTAGTTGCCTCTTACGACAAGCATAGTCGCCTTTTATGGCAAGCATGGGTTGCTGAAGACCCCGGATCTTCATGGGTCACATTAAGAAAGATTGGGTGGAAGATTCATTGAATGGAAGAAAAAGTGAAAATGTAACTCTTAGAATGATTTAAAGGCCCCTCACATTTAATGTATAAAGAAAAGGACTCCTCGCATTCAATGTATAGAGATTAGGGATGTGCGGTATTATCAGTATATCGGTAAATTGAGGTCCATTCTTTTCACAATACGTATCACAATATAATTTTTTCATGCTCGATATATTGGATGATGTCAAATAGTGATTTTTTAATGTTATTTTCTTGCCAAATGCCTTCACTGCCCCACAGCTTGCATTCAGGGCCGCAAGATGGCTGCGTATTTATTGACTGAGTAAACATCATGTTGTACCAGCATCTTGTTTTGTTCCATTTATGAACTTCAAATCATACCTTAATGTATCAGATTGCTGCTGAATTTAAAGTATATAATTATACAATATATCGGGATTCGTATCACAATAAGGCGTTGTGCATCGCAAAATATTGTGATACACTTTAAACCTCCAATACTCATCCCTAATAGAGACCAAGAACTCTTTAGTTGAAACTGACTGTGAACACTGGATATTATTCAAGACCTTGGTGATGGCAAACTTAGTATAAGGAACTATGACAGTTGAGTTCAAGACTTCAGTGCCTGAAGATTTAGCTGGATGGTAAGATTTAAAACTTTAAATAGCTGTAGACTTAATGCCTGGCATTACCATTCAGGCTTTGGCTGCTGCATGACAGAATAGAACATACCTCTCTAGTCAATATATGGGTTATGTCACTCTAGTCAATATATGGGTTATGTCACAGGTCTCTAGGTAATATACATCTTGAACTATATACAGATATAAATTCCTGGGCCATGATGAATGGCACATGGATAATAAACACTGATTAGGCAAGTATGCTGTTTGATTGATTTATACAGATTCCAGGTTTGGCATGCTGTTATTTCAGCCACACACATGGATTGGGCAAACAGCGGTGATGTAACACTAATTATGATTGTACACACTGGCACATTGACTTGTTTGTAGAAATAGCCAAGATTGTATCGATGAATGGATTCAGGAGGTTTTGTAATTTAAGATTATGAAATGATTATTTAGACATTACAAGATTGATTTGTTGACAACAGGTGATCATTGATTTGTGGATTATGGGATCAGGTTTCATAATTTATGGTTTAATTTGTTTACTGTTCATCACACTTTAAGTGGCAGTTCAGAATGGGCCAATTTCTTATTATTTTTTAAGGATTTGCTGAGATATGGATATTCTTTTCTTTTTTTTCACAGATTTTTTTCTGACAAAGAGACATACCTGCTTGTATTACCGTTTTGTTAAAATGGGTTTGATATAATTTTGTATTTATTTTTATGTTTTTTTTGTTTTTTTAGCATTCTTATGGAGACATGTCATGAGAAGAAAGTGTATTGGACAATCTGTTCAGCAAAGATCTTATTTTGAACAAGATGTATAACAGTAAACCATTATTAATATATTAGATTAATACTGCAATAAAGTTATGTATAAGGTTTGATTAAAAAAATAATCCCCTTGTGTATTTAGGATCAAGCCTTTAAGATTGTTAATGTCAGAGAGCCGAAAAGTGGAAGAGTTTGGGCCACTAGGGCTGCATGAATATGGGATGAGAAAGGAATTGGGGTGGTTGTCTTATTACATATGTGCTCTGGGTTCTGTAAGACTGATTATTGATGGATCATTTTTCCTGTTTCAGGTTTATCCCAGCCAGTGTCGCTGATCTTTGTGTTCAGTCAGATTCTGGCACTTGAGAATGGAATACATAAAGGTAAAAGAAAGATTTAATTATTATTTTATTTATATATAAAAACACACTTTTATTTACATATAGAAAAGACATAATTTTATGATATGCCTGCTCTTTATCATATGAGTTTCTCGTCTGATTTTGATGTACAAATTGTCATGAACATGTATATATCTCTTTTGTAACACGTGACACGTTAATAAAATAACTCTCTCTCTCTATTTTGTTGATTATCAGGGATTTATCTGCATTTTCAAACTAAATATCCTTGGCATTTTGGGGGCAATGATGTTTTTCAAAAGTTATACTTTCCTTTCCTGTACAGGTATTTTGCAATTACATTTAATACCAAAAATGCCTCTTCCTCTTTTTTGTTCCTTGTATCAGTGAAATATTCCCCAAGTCCATATTTGTTATAACTGTATATTAACATAAATGGGAATTTTTTAATTCTAATTTGGGAAATTTTTACTGACAATTACTGCAAATTTGGGACCGAATATTTGGAATTCTCCGAACTCTTAAACATCTCTTTTCATGTGAACAGTAATACATGGCAGTTTGGTTAAGAACGAGGTTAGGCCTTTTGGGCTCGAGGGATATGGCTTATTTGATAAAGGAGGAAAATGTTTCCAAATCATTATGAACTAGGGCTGGGACAATACACCAACCATGCGACCCGATACAAATCACGATACCTTGCTCACTATCTGATAAGAATCATGATACATGCATGTGCTCCTATCTGATGTGCGTAAGCCATCTTTTACATAGACCGGATGGCCAAATACCTGGCACACTGACGATTTACAGTTGGCTGTGTCAAGTGTGGCGCAATGGTTAAAAAAATTTACATTTTCACTTCTAATGTTCACCATTAATTAGTGTTTGGTGTAACAGTTATTAAAGCAAACAGTTAAGGTAAGAATTGATAATTTGTACTTTGTGTGTGACTGTGATCGATACTTGTATCGAGAAGGAAAATATCGTGATCCATCAATGCATGTATCATCCAATTACTATTATGAACGTTATCAGATGGGTTCATATGAATGATAGATTTAATTCATTTCAAAACCAACTGGGATCATCCCATGTTATAACTACATGCAAGGCTAAAACGTCACAATTTTCACACTTGAAGAATTTTGGCAATACTAATGTATATTTCATCTAGTCAAAGTATTAAAAAAATGGCCGGTTAGCAGCCATTTGAACATTTGACATTTCCTGTAGGCCAGACAGGGCCACCCTGTTGTTTGAATGTAGGTGTGAAAAAGTTCCATTGCATTGTTTAGACATTCTGTCTCAGAGAATGCTACTTGCAAGGGCCCTGTTACATGCCAGTTTGACACTGATATCTTCTTTTGTCCATTACTCAGTGCTCTATTGGGAGAGATTATGTATTTAAGCAAACAGATACTGTCCAATAAAGCATAGCCAAAAGGAAAAAAAACGTTACTCAAAAAGTGCACATTTGTAAGGCTAATTCCACCCTCAAATATCTTGCGATGGTGCCTTGTGATTTATTGCTGTGTGTTTCTCAGATGTATTCTTAAGCACAGCTGTGGTCCTCTTTTTCTAGGAACATTCTACTGTAACAAAGGTCGTCGCAACATCGTTGTGCGAGCAGAAAAGGGAGACTCCGGCCATATCGCCTCACCTGGATACCCCGAGGCATACTCTACGAAATCCTTCAAAGGATCCTGGTGTGAGGTGCAGATACGAGCTTGTAGCACCTGTAAAATACGATTAAAATTCACTGAGATAGACTTCCCATCATGCAATGAGACTGTCACCAGTGTTACAACACCCCCGACTAGTAATAAATGCATTCCAGGGTAAGTACATTTCTGTTACTGAGTTGCGTTGACAGTCGATTTATTACTTGAAATAGAGGTGTTACAGACGCATGCTACTTTACCTGAGAATTTGATATCAAAACTTGTAGCTTCTTCTTGATTCTTCCAAAACTGCCTTCATCCTTATTTCAGAATTAATGTCAATATGTTTTACGTATATGGAGAATAGAAACGTAAAAACATGCGCGCACAGTTTGTGTCTACAATGCGTAAATTTGCAAACATTTTTTTCATGATCACCCTGCCATCAGATGAAAACAAACAATACCAGTAGTGCTGTCCTATATCATATTTATAACACCCAGTGTGCACGCCGCTCAACACGAAAAACCCACTTCCAGCTTGTGTCACCATTGACGACAAACAAACGAAAAAGTCTGTCCATCATGAAGGCATGTGACTAGTGATCCTTTAAGTTAAAACACGACTCGGCTATGATGCGAAGATGTTAAACTACGAGCGCAGGACAAGTCTCAGGGCCTTCTCCGAGGAATAGTGTATAACTAACTGCCTTATGAACTATTTAAATGCAAGAAATACCAGAAAGAATGAAGAAAATCCAATGGGATCCCTTATAGTGAAACATACCAGTGAAGATCCGGGATAGAATATATCTTCAGCAACCCATGCTTGCCGTAAAAGGCGACTATGCTTGTCATAAAAGGCGACGAACGGGATCGGGTGGTCAGGCTCGCTGACTTGGTTGATGCATGTCATCGATCCCAATTGCATGGATCGATGCTCATGATATTAATCACTGGATTGTCTGGTCTAGACTCGATTATTTACAGACGGCCGTCATATAGCTGGAATATTGCTGAGTGTGGCGTTAAACAACAAACCAACCAAATTATAGTGAAACAATACAGTAATCGCTGTGTGAAACAAATCCGTTGACAGCATCAGTGTCATGTAAGAGTGAACACCCTTTTTCATCACCTGCCCTGTGGCTCAGGGGAAAAAACAGTGGGTTGCAGTACTAAACATGATGTGTGAGGTTGCAGGTTCAATTCATTTTATAAAATTGTGACTTTTAACCATTATAAAATCAACATTGTTTATACAATTCAACTGTGAAACCTAGGTCTCACAATTCACATGTAAAACATCCAAGCAGGTTTCACAATTCACATGTAAAACATACAAGCAGGTCTTACAATTCACATGTAAAACATACAAGCAGGTCTTACAATTCACATGTAAAACATACAGGCAGGTCTTACAATTCACATGTAAAACATACAAGCAGGTCTCACAATTCACATGTAAAACATACAAGCAGGTCTTACAATTCACATGTAAAACATACAGGCAGGTCTTACAATTCACATGTAAAACAAACAGGCAGGTCTTACAATTCACATGTAAAACAAACAGGCAGGTCTTACAATTCACACGTAAAAACATCCAAGCCGGTTTCACAATTCACATGTAAAACATCCAAGCAGGCCTCACTTGATAGTTGTACTTCTCACAAGGTGACTGTGAGACAGTGATACCTACAATACAAGAGACGACAGTGGCAGTAGGTTTATAATATGGGGGAAAGGGTCAGTGTGAGAATCAGAGGTCATCTTTTTTTACACCCATAAATATATCCACCAGAGCTAACTTATGATAAATTACTTTCTAGGAAACGGTTTTCCAGGTAGTGTTGTGACTAGTTTTCCTATTCCTAGAGATGTTGATACAGCTTAGTTGATGATGTCACTTCCACGCTGCCAGTGTTCAATATTCACAGAATATCTAACTAGACAGCCGAATGGCAACGCATGAAAGATAGCTGCCCAGTTGGAAAGTTGTCAGGCCAGATTTTGTAAATTGACCTTTTTTGCAAATGGTAATAAAAATCTCAGGTAGTTAAATGTTTTAATATTAAATATGTAGAAATTGGCATAATTGATAGCTTGAAGAATTGTACTCAAATGTTCAACCTACCAAGAATTTAATTTATACCTAGATTGATATATTTTATCAAAGTTAGTATTGCAAAACTGCCTTAGGTGGAATAAATCATATATAGCATGAGGACAGACTTCCTGTCCAAATTTTTATTTATGTATTTTATATATACAATTAAAAAATCAACATTGCTAAAAGCGGCGTAAAACAATACGCACTCACTCACTCACTCACTCACTCACTCACTCACTCACTCACTCACTCACTCACTCACTCAAAAATCAACATGACCATCAGATGTGCATTGTCTAAAAGTTAACTGCTCAAAACCAAACAGTCGGTCTTCGGCCAGGCAGCTATTTCCAAAGCTGACAGTGCAATAGCTAGCTTACTTGAAGCTGAAATGCAGTACAGGGTTGAAGTTCCTTTACACAATTAACGTTATTTGCTGTTCACTATAACTTTCTGGGCTTGTGTTAGTGAAGGTGTTAGATCTTTAATTCAATTTACCCTAGACATTTTCTACCTTGCCCTTCATACAGGGATCACCTCCTTTCAGGCTGTTTACCCCCATCAATCACACACACGGGTGTTTTGTGAGAAAACATCCAAAGTTATTAGGAACCCCCGTGTTATCCGTTTTAACACACTGACTGATAACTGCACTGAATGACTACTGCATGCCATGTGCCCTGGACCAAGGCCTAAGACTGGTTCTTGCTATGATATGCAGTGACCCTGTACTCTTGTCCAATGACATTTCAGAATATCAATAGCTGACATGAATACCACACTAGACCACTGAATTTCAAGTTTAATCAACACTTTTTGTTGTATGTAGAAGTATATATATAGTAACAAATATAACACCTTCATTCCTGCGAATACCATACTTCTTTTAAATCATTGCCATAATCCTGTCATCACACTATAAAAATCTATGGATCTTCAACAGAAGTGCTCTTCATTGTCAGCTGCTCCAAACTAGTTGTGTGGATGATAGTTTTCCTCCACCATTGTTCTGAGCATTGGCGAGGCAGGAAAACCTCAATTATTTCCAAATACCCAACATCTAACTGGATGCAGATAATTGGGGAAGGTGGGTGTAATAGAGGTAGTATTCTTAGAATTATATAACATTATAACAATGATAGCTATTTGAAAATTCTGGCAAATACCATACCTCTATTACATTGTTGCCAGAATAGCCAGAGGGACTGGTGGTTTCTGATATCTAGTAGTCCAAGGACAGCTGATGGCAAATCCTTACCCAATAATGGCTCCATACCACCATTAAGTCTAATCAGAACATAATCACTGACAGGCCCAATACTGATCAGACATTCTTCTGTTTCACTACTAATAGTCTTTTGAAATTATTCAGGACATGTTGAACAACAGCCTTTCAATGTCCTGAAGGCATGTGACTGGTGATCCTTTTTAAGTTAAGACACGACTCCTCGGCTTTGGTGGAAGATGTAAAACTGTAAGCGCAGGACAAGTCACAGGGATTTCTCAACTAAAAAAGGGGAATAGTGTATAACTAACTTATGAACCATCTAAATGCAAGAAATACCAAGGAGAAACATGGACCCATCTGAAACCTTGTGTAGGTCTGTATGTCTGAAACATCCTTTCAGCATGTGATTTGAGCCCACAGTTTTCAAATCAACCCAAATTCTGAGTTTCCAGAGTTGTGAAGCTCTGAAGCGCTACTCAAATGAAATGCTCAGGTTCATCATAAATTGTTACACATTTTACTTTTTAATACAGTATTTCAGCTGTGACAGTCATAGTGGTTACCATAATTGATAAGTGAGGTTGTTGAAAGGATAACTAGCTGTGTATTTATGACAAGGTCTTGCTTGTACTGGCTATCTGCGTTATGCTGTTGCCATGTATTGTGACAAGGTCTTGCTTGCACTGGCCAGCTGTGATTATGCTGTTGCCATGTACTATGACAATGTCTTGCTTGCACCGGCTAGCTGTGTTATGCTGTTGCCATGTACTGTGACAATGTCTTGCTTGCACCGGCTAGCTGTGTTATGCTGTTGCCATGTACTATGACAATGTCTTGCTTGCACTGGCCAGCTGTGATTATGCTGTTGCCATGTATTGTGACAAGGTCTTGCTTGCACTGGCCAGCTGTGATTATGCTGTTGCCATGTATTGTGACAAGGTCTTGCTTGCACTGGCCAGCTGTGATTATGCTGTTGCCATGTATTGTGACAAGGTCTTGCTTGTACTGGTCAGCTGCGTTATGCTGTTGCCATGTACTGTGACAATGTCTTGCTTGCACCGGCTAGCTGCGTTATACTGTTGCCATGTACTGGTCTTGCTTGCACCAGCTAGCTGTGTTAATATGCTGTTGCCATGTATTGTGACAAGGTCTTGCTTGCACCGGCTAGCTGTGTTATGCTGTTGCCATGTACTATGACAATGTCTTGCTTGCACCGGCTAGCTGCGTTATACTGTTGCCATGTACTGGTCTTGCTTGCACCAGCTAGCTGTGTTAATATGCTGTTGCCATGTATTGTGACAATGTCTTGCTTGCACCGGCTAGCTGTGTTATGCTGTTGCCATGTACTATGACAATGTCTTGCTTGCACCGGCTAGCTGCGTTATACTGTTGCCATGTACTGGTCTTGCTTGCACCAGCTAGCTGTGTTAATTTGCTGTTGCCATGTATTGTGACAATGTCTTGCTTGCACCGGCTAGCTGTGTTATGCTGTTGCCATGTACTGTGACAAGGTCTTGCTTGCACTATCTAGCTGTGCTAATATGCTGTTGCCATGTACTGTGTCAAGGTCTTGCTGGCACCAGCTAGCTGAGCTAATATGCTGTTGCCATGTACTGTGATAAGGTCTTGCTTGCACTATCTAGCTGTGCTAATAAAGATTTTTCATCCAAACTTGGTACATGTATTAACCAGGGGCTGAAGTGGTGCCTTTTGCTATTGTGGGGGCTGGGGGATTTGTCATCTTCTGATGACTCTTGTGTCTGAAAGGAAGAACAAAACAAAACTCTTTTGGGACCCACAATATATTATTTTTCAGAGCATCCAACATGTTCAGTGA